AGGGGGCAGGGAGGAGGTATGTTTTTGACAGGGGGAAGGGGGTGGGCGGGGTTAGAAGGGGGCGAGGCTTGGCGGCGGCATGGGCAGGGTTAGAAGGGGGCGGGGGGGAGGGTTTTTGACAGGGGGAAGGGGGTGGGCGGGGTTAGAAGGGGGCGGCTTGGCGGCAGGTGGGCGGGGTTTAGAAGGGGGGGAGGGATGGTTTTGACAGGGGGAAGGGGGGGGCGGGGGTTAGAAGGGGCGAGGCTTGGCGGCGGCGTGGGCGGGTTAGAAGGGGGCGGGGAGGAGGGATGTTTTTGACAGGGGGAAGGGGGTGGGCGGGGTTAGAAGGGGGCGAGGCTTGGCGGCAGCGTGGGCGGGGTTAGAAGGGGGCGGGGAGGAGGTATGTTTTTGACAGGGGGAAGGGGGTGGGCGGGGTTAGAAGGGGGCGAGGCTTGGCGGCGGCGTGGGCGGGAAAAAGGGGGGGGGAGGAGGTTTTTGGGGGAAGGGGGTGGGCGGGGTTAGAAGGGGGCGGGGCTGGGCGGCGGTGTGGGCGGGGTTAGAAGGGGGCGGGGAGGAGGTATGGTTTTGACAGTGGGAAGGGAGTGGGCGGGTTAGAAGGGGCGAGGCTTGGCGGTGGTGTGGTGGGGTTAGAAGGGGGTGGGGAGGAGGGATGTTTTTGACAGGGGGAAGGGGGTGGGCGGGGTTAGAAGGGGGCGGGGCGTGGCGGCGTGGGCGGGGTTAGAAGGGGGCGGGGGGAGGTTTTTGACAGGGGGAAGGGGGTGGGCGGGGTTAGAAGGGGCGGGGCTTGGCGCGGCTTGATGGAGGAGGGGAGGAGGGATGGTTTTGACAGGGGGAAGGGGGTGGGCGGGGTTAGAAGCGGGTGGGGCTTGGCGGTGGTGGCGTTTGATGAGAAGGGGGTGGGGAGGAGGTATGGTTTTGACATGGGGGAAGGGGGTGGGCGGGGTTAGAAGGGGGCGAGGCTTGGCGGCGGTGTGGGCGGGGTTAGAAGGGGGGGAGGAGGTATGGTTTTGACAGTGGGAAGGGAGTGGGCGGGGTTAGAAGGGGCGGGGCTTGGTGGCGGCGTGGGCGGGGTTGGAGTGGGCAGGGCGGGGCTTGGGGGCGGCGTGAGCAGGGTAAGACGAAGGAGATGGTTTTGACAGGGCGGGAAGCGGCGCGACGGGAGGATGGGGGCGTGGCTTGCGCGGAGGGAGCGTTGGCCGGCAGGCCATGTGCGCGCGCCAGGGAACTTGTGGCTGGGTACCATTGTGCATGCTCAGCTGTTTTGTCGTTTTGTGAGTGTGTTGTTTTTCATTTTGATTCAGTTTGTTTGTACCTAGTGGGTTGAGGTATGTGCATGGGAATTTTGGTTAATTTCCGTTGGGGGGGTTTTGAGTTTTGCTTCTCCGTTCGACGCCACTTTCAGATTTATATATATAGATATGTAGGCCCCCTGGTGGCGTCACAGGTTAAACCTCTGAGCTACTGTACTTGCTGACCGAAAGGTTGGTGGTTCGAATCTGGGAATGGGATTCTGCCAACCTAGCTGTTTGAAAACATGCAAATGTGAGTAGATCAATAGGTACTACTTCTGTAGGAAAGTAAGAGTACTCCATGCTGTTATGCTGGCCACATCTCCTTGGAGGTGTCGATGGACAATGCCGGCTCTTTGGCTTAGAAATGGAGATGAGCAATGTCAAGAGAAACATTTACCTTCATCTACGGCTGGAGTTAGGTGCCTGCATCCCCCCCCCCCCCCTAATGGATGGGATTTCCAACCTTATACTCTTGGAAGGCTTCTTCCAGGGGAATGACGTTGTGGCCTCGGTGCTCCTTGGATCTGTCGCAGACCATGCAGATGGGGGCCTCGTCCTCCCTGCAGAAGAGCTTCAGGGGCTCCTGGTGCAGCTTGCAAGCCTCTCTCCTCCCTTCTTTCTTCCTTCCTCCTTCCTGGAGTTTCTGCACCAGTTCTGCCACGTTGGCCAGCTGCCTGTTGGGCCTGAAGGTCCTCTGGGGGATCCTTTCTCTGCATTGGGGACAGGAAGCCTCTGGGCCAGGCTCCCCCCAGCACTTGGCCAGCTTTCTCTGCATTGGGGACAGGATGCCTCTGGGCCAGGCTCTCCCCAGCACTTGGCCAGGCAACTTCTGCAAAAATTGTGCCCACAATCTATGATCACTGGGTCTTTGAAGAAGTCCAGGCAAAGGGGGCAAGTGGCTTCCTCGCAGAGCGCTTTGGCTGGACTCTCCCCTTCCATGGCTGCCTTTGTCTGAACCAGGAAAGGAAAAGGGCAGAGAAGTTTCGATTCTCAGTGCTGGGTGTTTGCTTTCCAAGAAGCAGAGGCGGAGCCTATTTGTGGGGCAGCCCCAGAGCAAATGCTGGAAGGAGCCTTAAAGGCACCAGATCCCGGCTGGTTTTGGAAGCTAAGCAGGGACGGCCCAGGTTGATGCTTGGATGGGAGATCCACAAGGGATCCCTGATGCTGTGGGTTGCATTTCAGAGGAAAGAATTCAAATAGCCACCCTTTGAGTATCTCTTGCCTGAGGAAACCCTATGAAACCCAGATGTCCCAATGCATCAAATTCCATCCATTCTTGGAAAATACAGTAATCAGGGTTGTCACTAGTTGGTGCTTAGATGGGAGACCAACAAGGAAAAGCTAGTGTTGTAGGCTGTATTTCAGAAAAAGACACACAAAAGGACACTTCTGAGTACTCCTTGTCTAATTAGTGAGGTCTGTGGAGAGTTGTGGGAGTTGAAGCCCAAAACACATGGAGGGCTGAAGTTTTCCCATGCCTGGTGCACCAAATCCAGTCTCATCTAGTAAGCTAAGCAGGGTTAGTCCTGGTTGGTGTTTGGTTGGGAGACCAACAGGAAAGAACAGATCAAAGCTGGAAGGAACTGAACCTAAAGACACCAGACCACTTTAGGTTCCTTTTCAGATGAAGGAACTCAAATAACCACCTCTAAGCATTCATTTCCCAAGAAAACCCTGGGAAAGCCATGGGATCTGTCTAATTTTGAAAGCTAAGCAGGGAAAGCCCTGGTCGGTACTTGGTTGCAAGACCACCTGTGAAGACGAGGGTGTATTTCAGAGGGAATGTGAAAAGAAGCCATCTTTATAAATCCATGGGGTCTTCAAGGGCCTCAATGCAGCAATGCTGGCCTGATCTTAGAAGCTAGGCAGGATCGGTCCTGGCTGGTACTTGGGTGGGAAACCCCCAAGGAAGACCAGAACCAGAAGTGGCAACAGATCCCATATTTTTATTTTTGTCATGTCAGGAGAAACTTGAGAAACTGCAAGTTGCTTCTGGTGTGAGAGAATTGGCCGTCTGCAAGGACGTTGCCCAGGGGACGCCTGAATGATTTGATGTTTTTATCATCCTTGTGGGAGGCTTCTCTCATGTCCCCGCATGAGGAGCTGGAGCTGATAGAGGGAGCTCATCTGCCTCTCCCCGGATTCGAACCTGCGACCTGTCGGTCTTCAGTCCTGCCGGCACAGGGGTTTAACCCACTGCGCCACCAGGGGCTCCTAGATCCCATATGATCTTTGAAGACAAGTAGAATCAGCCTTGGCTGGTACTTGGATGGGAGGCCACTAGAAAGACCACGTGCTGTAGGCTGTATTTCAGAGGAACTCAAAAACTCACCTCTGAATATTCCTTGCCCACAAAAACCCTGTGAAATTCCGAAATGCATCAAATCCTGTCTGCCAAGTTGTTTTCAACTCTGAAGCATTTGAAAACATATGTAAGAAGCACAATAGAGCTTGTACCGTTCAAATGAGTTTATGGCTCTTCATGACGTAGCCAGAAAGACACTTGAGTGTCCACTGAAGTTTATCGATGCAACCTGATTTCTTTCTTTTTTTTATAAATACTTTTTTTGGTAACAAATTTACAGTATCTTAATGAGAGAAAAGAGGGGACATAGAGGGAAATGGGAATAGAAAGAGGGGAAACTATCGTGGATAGACTTCACAAATCTGTCAATGAATTTCTGCAGCAGGCAGGTTCCTTGCTGACAAAAACCGTATCACTGATCGAACCTCACATGCGGCAGGTGAGTTAAATAGTCTTAAACATTTTTAAAGCACAGAACAGAACCGTACAGGTTAGCTACAGAGCGGAAACTGAGCACAGTTGTTCCCGAGGCATGCCGGTACATGACGCACGCACTCGTTGCGGTATGTGCGCAAACTACTAGTGTCTACAACAAAACGGACCTTACTTTAAAAATACCCCTTGTATATGTACTCTTCCTTGATTACTTGTCCGTCCCTTCTTGTCTTTTTTATTCCCACTTTCTCCTTGAATTTGATGCACAGCTACAAGGCTTTTAGCTTCAGCGAAGATCAATAGAGGATGGCATTTCCCAGTCTTTTTGTCATTTCTCCTTTTGTCTTTCTTTCTTTCTGATGGTAGGTGAAGATATTTTTTTGTACAGACAGGCCTTTGAGATTTAAATTATGAAACAGCAGTCTGTGCAGAGTGGTGTGCCATATTTATTAACTTTTATTAGTAATTATACAGTATATCAGAACAACAAAACATTTTCCCAGGCTCAGCCAGGCCTTCAAATGCTAATGAAGGTGGTCAGTTGAAACATTCACACCTAGCTCCAGCAGAGAAGAGCTCTTTGTCCCACCCTGGTCATTCCACAGATATATAAACCCATTTCCTAGTTCCAACAGACCTCACTACCTCTGAGGATGCTTGCCATAGATGCAGGCGAAACGTCAGGAGAAATGCCTCTAGAACATGGCCATATATCCCGAAAACACCCACAAGAACCTAATTTACAGTATATCGGAATTAGTTTTAAGAAGCATTTCAACAATAGTATTCCGTGTGTAAAACTAAGTGGTAACATCTTGTTTTCGATTACTGTGGGATGGAGACCCCAGAAGTAAATATCCATAAAAAACAAATACTCAGAATAGAAAACAAAAGAGCAGTTATATTTTCTTCTTCTTTGGTTCCCATTTTTTTCAAACCCAGTGGAGGGCCCTGTGCCTTTGAAAAATCATGAGGCAAAAATAAAAAAGGAGAAGATAGGGATGCATCAGCATGTTCTATGTATCTGATAAGTCAAGCTCTCAAATGCTTAACTTCCTTCTGCCTATTTTGAGGGACAGGGCCTTTAAAAAAAAAATCTGTAACCAAAGAGACCTCCTAACCCAACCTCTTCTTATTGGCATTTTTGCAGATAAGATATTCTCAGCCCTCATGATTAAGAAATGGAAGTTATTCCCCAAACCTTCTTGGAGATCCAAAGAAAGCCTTTTTGAGCCCTTTGATGAGACCGTGGATGAGGGTTGGTTCTTCCCAGTGATTAGCAAATCAGGGATCCATGGTTGGGTACGAAGAAAAAGGGTCGGATTTCCTCACCAGAGAATGATATTGAAGTAAAAGCATAGATGAATTCATCACATTCATCATAAAATTCCACCCGACCCTCTTCGTAATCCAGGGCCACATGTAACTTACGACGATTCTGTTCTAACTCAAAATAGTCTACTTCAGGGAAAATGCAAACTTCAGAATCATAGTTGTTAAATGGTTTTACCCCTACAGCCCAGATTGAGTCATCTGTTTTTGGGTTGATACTTTCCTTCTTTCTGACAGAGTCTCTTGAGATTCCAGCAGCCCATTGCCTTGAGGAAACTTTCACTTCCCAATAATGTCTTCCGGAAGTGAATCTCTCATTGCCCCATACAAAGGCCTCCCGGGGAAATGTGTAAGATCGATCAGGAGTACATCCTAACATTCTCGCATTCTTCCGGTCCCACGACAGAATAAGCCTGGAACATGCTGTCTCGGGGACTAGAGTCACACTCACTACAAAGGAGAAAGAAGGAATGTTAAATATATGTCTCACCTACCGCATTCATTGGTTCCCCTTTCATAAGTGTACATGATTAATGGATTATTAATGTAGTCACTCTTGGAATCCGTAGGTCTCCTTGTACTACTCTATGGCCTACCTACAGCAGAAGTGCAACACATAATCATGCTGGAGGACCTAGAAATCCCTAGAGAGAACATTTATCTAGGAATATATAGGTCCTCCAGCGTGATTCTATGGTCCACTTCCAACAGAAGTTGACCACAGTTGCACTGGGGGACCCACAGATCCCTATGTGAAAGAAGACCTGAGTTTGGGCAACACTGAATTCTATGCTGTAGGTAGGCCATATATGTATGCCAGACCTCCTCGCTCTCCCGAAATTATTTCCACCATTCTCTCTAATCTATTCACTGAATGCGAGTCTTTAGCTCTGTTGTGAAAGTTTTTTTCTACATCGCTTCCCCAATTCCCAATGGGATTTTGGCCTGCATCAATAGGAGCATAGTGTCTAGATCTAAGGAAGTAATGCTACCCCTTTATTCTGCTTTGGTTAGACCACATCTGGAATATTGTGTCCAATTCTGGGCACCACAATTCAAGAGAGATATTGACAAGCTGGAATGTGTCCAGAGGAGGGCGACTAAAATGATCAAGGGTCTGGAGAACAAGCCCTATGAGGAGCGGCTTAAGGAGCTGGGCATGTTTAGCCTGAAGAAGAGAAGGCTGAGAGGAGATATGCTAGCCATGTATAAATATGTGAGAGGAAGCCACAGGGAGGAGGGAGCAAGCTTGTTTTCTGTTGGAGACTAGGACGCGGAACAATGGCTTCAAACTACAAGAAAGGAGATTCCATCTGAACATTAAGAAGAACTTCTTGACTGTGAGAGCTGTTCGGCAGTAGAACTCTTTGTGCCAGAGTGGTGTGGAGGCTCCTTCTTTGGAGGCTTTTAAACCGATCTGATGAAGCTCCAAGGTAATCTGTTCTATTCTGTTATGTCTAGTCTGTTTTACCTTGGTTGTTGTAAGAAAATATTTTTCTTAATCTGGCATCATATTCCTTTCCAGGTCTCAGGAGGACATAGAAGAGTACATCCGGGACATTTCTTCCAAACTGGAGGAGAGACTTAAATTTGCTTGTCTTAAAAATTCTATCTTGGAAAACGCGGTGCAGAATTATAAAGGTATTTTGGGGTAGCCTAAATTGAGGCATCTCTGTGGGTTTTCAGGTTCTTTCCACCTTATGGTGACCTGAAGGTAAATCCATCATGGGGTTTTCTTTGCAAGAGTAATTTGGAGGAGGTTTGCCTTTGCCTTCCTCTGAGGCTAAGAGAATGTAACTTGCCCAAAGTAACCCAGTGACTTTCCATAGATCAGACCAAAGATGGCTGGTCTTAACCATCTCTCTGTTCACACAGTAATCAATGAGATCCCTTTGGAAAGCCCAGAAGCAAAGCAATGAAGGACAAATTCTCTCCCTCTCATACTTCCTAGCAATTGATACTCAAAAATGGGTTGCTTCTAGTATATGTGTTGATGTATGTTCCATCAAGTAACCTGTTGACTTAGGTCAACTCCATGAATTTCATAAGGTTTTCTTAGGCAAGCAAGGAGTACTCAAGGATGGTTTTGCCATTTCCTTTCTCTGAAATCTCTGAAATGTCTCTGTGGTGGAGGCTCCTTCTTTGGAAGCTTTTAAGCAGAGGCTGGATGGCCATCTGTCAGGGGTGATTGGAATGCAATATTCCTGCTTCTTGGCAGGGGGTTGGACTGGATGGCCCATGAGGTCTCTTCCAACTCTATGATTCTATGATTCTATTCCTCCAAAAGTTCTCCCAAGGGAATACGGTTTTATTGTTCTATCAATGGGCTTGTGGACTGAGTATTGTTTTTAATTTAATGACTGTTATGATAATTTGGTTATAATTAATTGCTATTGTTTTAACTCTGTATGTATTTATGGTTTTATACTGTGTTATTGATTTGTGGCATCGAATTGCTGCCTTTGTTAGCCGCTCTGAGTCCCCCCCCCCCCCCCGGGGGGGGGGGGTTGAGAAGGGTGGGGTAAAAATGCTGTAAATAAATAAATAAATAAATCTTCAAATAAAACCAATTAAAGCAAGAGAAAAACATTACAAAAACACAGTATTCTCTAAAAACTCCTAAAAGCAATCTAGGGGCAGCTAGAACTCGTATGACCCTCTGTCAGTACCATCCCTAGTTGTTTTCAGATATTTACCTTTCTTTGGGGCTTGAATGGAACAATCTGTTATAAGGAGAGAAAGGTGACAAAATGATAAATCAGATCGCTAAACAACAACACAGCCATCTTACACCAAGCAAATCCTGAAAGTAATTCAATATGACAGCATATAGTTTGATAAAAGTAAGTCCAGGGGGTTGGTGTTCATCTCAATTTTTAAGCCTAGGAGCCGGTGTTGTGCGTATCTTCTCACTTCAGCTGTACCTATTGATCTACTCGCATTCTTCTCACCAGAGCTGTATCTATCAATCTACTCACATTTGCGTGTATTTGAACGGGTACATAGCTCCCGAGTACATAGCTCAATTCAGTGGCCCAAAGCAAAATCAAAAGGAGCAGCTGCTCTCAAACGTAACAGTTCCAGGTCTAAACAAGAGTACCACTGTATATAGGCTTCAGGGATACATACCATGAGAACAATCACACACAAAGTAAATATAAAGTCATGAGGCTATATGTAGACTGAAGACAATAATGAATTGAGCTATGTACTCGGGATTTTGTTAAATAGCATACTATATGCTCTTTTGACATTACACTTTGACATTACGCATAGATTGTTTTGTGTTTGTGCTGAAACCACATATATACACACAAACACATATACACAAATATATGCACACACAGATGCACATATAAACACACAGACACACAAAACACAAATACACAGACCGGGCCACAGCATCGTGTAGCAGGGGCCCCAGCATCAGCACCACAAGCATTATCGTTGTAATGTGTAGCAGGGGGATCAGTTAGATACACATATAAACACACACACACAAAACACAAATACACAGACCGGGCCACAGCATCGTGTAGCAGGGGACAGCTAGTTTAGTCATAAAACCCTTCTGCACGAATGCCTTCAGCATTAGAAGCAGGATTATCATGAAATTATGATTTCCAAAATTAGACTTCCCCATCATTCCCAAACAACTCATTTGGTATCGTATCCCATAAAAAAAGAATCAAAGGATGATTGAAACAGTTTTAAACAGTGGATTTTAATGTTGAGATAAATAATTTTAATGTTTATGTATGTGTATAGTCTATTTATGTCCCTGCATTGAATGTTTGCCATTTATATGTTGTGCTCTGCCCTGAGTTCCCTTCGGGGTGAGAAAGGGGGAATATAAATCCTTTAAATAAATAAATCAATAAATAATGAGATGGCCAGAATATAAATGTTTTAAATAATAAATAAATAAATCCAGGCAAATCCTCTTTCTGTCTTAGAACATTACCTGTGTTGGCGGTTTGCTCCCAAACAGCCTCGATCAGAGCTTTCTGCAGATCTTCTATTGTACAGAAAAGGAAAGGAAAGGAAACAATGATTGAAGTCATTTTCTGGACAAAAACAAACTCTCACAACTGACACAATATTCCTCTTATAAATTCAGACCAATTTGTTTGCAATCAAACAATTAAAAAATCAAAACATTATAAAAACAGTTAAAGAATGAAACAAAATTGTGAACCAAATCATTTAAAAACATTTCCTTTTTACTAGCAAAGGATAAGATATCAGTACTGGGGAGCCAGAAAACTCATACAGCTCATTATATCCTGGTGATGCAATGGGTTAAACCTTTGTGCCGGCAGGACTGAAGACCGACAGGTTGGAGGTTCGAATCCAGGAGAGCGCGGATGAGCTCCCTCTGTCAGCTCTGGCTTCCCATGCGGGGATATGAGAGAACCCTCTCACAAGGATGGTAAAATATCAAAACATCCAGGAATCCCCTGGGCAATGTCCTTGCAAACAGGCAATTCTGTCACACCAGAAGCAACTTGCAGTTTCTCAAGTCATTCCTGACACAAAAAACAAAAAGCATACAAACAAACAAAAAACTACATCCCGTTTCTTGTCTCCCAAAGGAGACTCAAAGTGGTTAACACTAAAAATCAAATAAATTAAACCCTAAAGCATACAAATATTAAAATGGAATTACACAGGACTTCTTAAAAGTACACAGTTAAAACCATTCAAAGAATGTAAAAACCTGTCTAAACACATAATACACAGTATGCCCTGACTTTGTTACATTTGGAGACATTACACCATTCTTTGTACCTTTGTAGGACTCTGTGGCCTTTTGTAAAGCAGAGATCTTCTGAGAGGTAACTTTGAGTCTCTCGTTCAAATTAGGAGCAACATCTGGCACATGTCCTCCTAAATTGCTCTCACATCTGGAAGTGAACATGGTCAAGTTTAAGGAAAATTAACCAAACCTCAGTTTCCATCAATCTTCTGGCATTACTGGATGTTAGACCAGGATGAATTCTGGAATGATGCCCCTATCTGCCGTTTCATAGCTTGACGGCTTTTGAATAAAGATCTTATTTATTTATTTCAAACATTAATTTCCCTTATACTGCTTAACCATCATGGTGACTTACAAAAAAATTGCAAATTAACTCCAAAGCCCTGAATAGAATAGAATAGAAAAAAGGAAAAAAAATAACTTAACAAAGAAATATGCTCAAGAAAAAAAACGGATAAGAATGCACCATAGCACCAAAAGTATAAGAAGTCCTGAGCAAATAAACATGTCTTTGCCTGGCATTGAAAAGATAAGAAAGGGATGGGACCGATTTGTCAATTTCTGCTCATTTAAAGAAAAAAGAGCAACATCTGAAACACTGGGTATGGAAGAAGCAAAACTGGTCCATACTCCTATTTCACAGGAGGTTCTCGGCTTCTGTTTGTTGGAACAGGATGGACATGTAAGAAAAGACTGGGGGGGGGGGGGGCTAAAGGACTAAAGAAACAATTCCAAATACACTCCAGTGTGATTTAACTTCTCCTTGAAATAGGAGGTGAAACCATCATATCCGTACCTGACCAAGGAATTTCTGATGTCCTAAAAGGGAACAAGAGAGAAATTGGTCACTCACAGACTTAATAAACAGTTTTGTTCTCATCTGAGGGCCTGTCTACATAGGCTCAATACATAGGCTCAATAGCCCACACTTAAGTGTGTTAAGTCACTCCTGGCTGTCTTCATGACATCTGGGGACATCTGGTCTTTATTGTTGGATGAAACAGGTTAATCAGTTTATCCCCACATTAAGGAATTTCAGAGAATACTCAAGTTTTTCTGAAACTTTGGAGCAACCCTGCATTTTGGGCACAAATTGGAGAGCAGGACCAGGTCAGATGCAAATTAGTCCACTGTCCCCTTTGTCAGCTGCCACCAATCCATTTCCCTGTGTTCATCCCTCTCTTTCTCCCTGGGTGTGTGGGCACCTCTCTTGATGTCAGCACAGGATGCTCACGATGGTCAGGAAGAATGCTTTGTGGCCATCTGGCAACGGCAATAAGGTGACAGTTTTGGCCCAACAACCATGACTGCTGCAGGTTTATACTATCTACAACAGTGGTGTCAAACTTGTGGCCTTCCAAGTGTTTGGATTTCAGCTCCCAAATTCCTGGCCATTGGAAAAGCTGGCTAGGGTTTCTGGGAGTTGGAGGCCCAAACTTCTGAAGGGCCACAAGTTTGACACCTCAAACCTACAAGGTGAGTCTGGACCATTTCTGCTTTGGACTGGCCAAACAACAAGGAGAAAATGGAGATTAGCCCTTAGTTGGATACTTGTTAGTTGGACAGTTAATTACCATTTCTATATTATTATAAAAATTCTTTTCAATCATAGCAAAGTCAGTTTTAAACCTTTTCTCCACATTGTGGTGGTCAGTAATTAGTACATGAATAATAAATGGAGCTGGAAATTTATGTTGGCTTTAATTAAAATAAATATCCTATACCCATGTATACATCTACACTTTTAACACTTTTTTAAACACTTTATTTATATTCTGCCCTCCCCCCCCCCCCCCCGAAGGGGACTCAGGGTGGATCACAAGTACACATACTTGGCAAACATTCAGCATGGAAGGAGATGTTGTTTTGATGCCATGGGCGGTTGGGCTTGAGTCCACAGGAGTTCGCTCCATCCTCTATGACGAAGAGCCATCAGGACTTCCTCATTCCAGCATTTTCTGACCTCCACCACTTTTAGCAGTACCTAATTTCTTCTATCTATCTATCTATCTATCTATAAAATTGTTCATGTCATCGTGAGTGGCTACAAAACAAAAGAACCACTGGGCCAATACCCACCAAATTTGGCAACGAAACTCTTCGCCATACAAGGTGTGACCAACAATAGTAAAAAACAAAAAAATACACTTACAACTCCTAAAAAAGGAGAAGATACCACTGGGCATGTGTACAGGGAGGGGGGTGCGTGTCCGCTTTCTCTCACACACACACGAGAGCTCCACATGGCGGAGCCTCTGCTGGCAATGGCTTCTAGGCTTCCTGGAGCCAGCCTCAGCTCCTCCCAGTTGTCCTTCCCCTCTTCCCTCTTTCCTTTCCTCCCTCCCTTCTCTCCTTCCCTTCTATCATTCCTCCTTCCCTTCTTCCTCCCTCTTCACCTCTCACCTTGGGTGCTGCCATCATGGGGTTCCAGTAAACCCCGCCCCTAATGAAGCAGAGTGTGCCAGGGAGGAAAGAAGGAAGAGGTGAACCCAGTTCAGGCTCCTCATTGATTGCAGGTGAACTGGACATCCAAGCAGCTCCCAAAAGTCAAGGTCAGTTTCCCCCTGACGCCACCAGAAATCACATTTGGGCATATTGAGTATTGATCCATATTTGGTCAGATCATTCTTTGTTTGGGTTCACAGTGCTTTCCGGATGAACAATTTCTCCTCCCCCTCTCTCATCTAGCCCAACCCCTTCCTTCCTTCCCTTCCTCCCTTTCTCTACTTCCCTTCCTTCTCCTTCCTTTAATTCTTTTCCTTTTCTCCATCACTCCTCTCTCCCTTTCTTTCCTTCTGGACTGGATTATATGGCAGTGTAGACGAGCACGCGCACGCACGCACACACACACAGATATGGATGGATGTTGGATGTTTATATATATATATATATATATATATATATATATATATATACACACACACACACACACACATACAATATATATTACTATTATATATACTGCTATATAATACATAAATATTATAGATTGTTGTTATAAATACTACTATATAATATAATGTTACTACTATATATTATTATATTAAATAGACTCAGAGAATAGAGTTAGAAGGGAGAGAACAGACAGGAAAGAAGGAGAGAAGGAGGGAGGGAAAGAAGGAGGGAAGGAAAGAGTGAAGGAAGGAAGGAAAGAAAGAGGTACCGAAGGAAGGAAGAAGGAAGAAGATAAAAGTAGAAAGGAAAGGAAAGGCAGGAAAGAGGTAAAGAAGGAAGGAAGGAGAAAAGGAAATAAAAAGTGAAAGAAGCAAGGAAACAGGGAGGGAAGAAAGGAGACAAAGGAAGAAGTAGAGAAAGGGGGAGGGAAGGAAGGAAAGAGAGAAGGAAGGATGAAACCAAAGAGTGATTTACCAGCTGTGCTAAACCTCAGACCCATTAGTCAAAACATCAACCCACGAAGCTTGCAATGATCCATGGACAACTCTACTTGTCCATGGATCATTGCAAACAATGTACCTTAACTCGTATATAAAAAGGACCATCTTCTTTTCTGAGTAGAAGGTGACTTTTCTCCTTCTGGTGCTGTTTCTGGCCTTTTTGGACCTGAACTGGGAAATGATGGTGGTGGCCAATGGTGGTTGGCCCCTCGAGTTGGCAGTGGGGCTTTCTCCTCTGTGGAGAATGTCCCTTGACTTATCTATGGTACATTTCAAGATGTAATTTCGGCCCAATAACCTGTCTTCGATAATTACATGGGCATATAAGATATTCCTTTAACGCCCTTTTTGGCTAAAGAGAAACAATTTTACAATGAGACCTGGAAGGAATCTGTGTGTCAAACTTCACCTGAAGGAAGACGCTGGCTGGCTGCAGACACTTCTCTTCCATCTCTGTGATCAGCAAACTGAGTTGTGAAATCTCTTCAGTGAGTTTGGCGAGGGTTTTGTCTTGCCTTCTCTCCATCTCTTTCTCCAGGTCTTCCAGCTGAGCTAAGCAGAAATGCTGTTTCTCCTCAAGGAATCTCTGCATTCCCTCAAAGAGAGATTTGATCTTCATCTTCTCAAGGTCTAACTGTGTCTGAGGAAAAATATATCCTGAGTAAAGGAAGGGTTGCAGTAGAAGGGTGCATCTACACTATAGATTTAATAAAGTTTGACACCATTTTAAGTGCCATAGCTCAATGCTATGAGATCCTGGGAGCTGCAGTTTCCATTTTCATGAACTGCTCAGAAAAATCTGGACATGCACAGCCAGGGTGCTTTTTGAGTGCGCCCTAGAGTAGGAAAGCTAACCTTCATCCATACAAGAAACCTTTAAACATGGAACAATCAGCTTGCATGGTTGATAAAAACTGAGGCTGTAACACAACCTCCTGAAGGATGTCAAGTCTAAGAAAAAAAACATTCCTCATTGAAGGAGTGGATTGAGCGGCTGCCCCTTAATAAACACAGCCTCACTACATGGGCCCCCAAAACAACTGTCTACCTGATAGTCTTTCCTTCTTAGCTCTTGAACATATTGTTGGTCCTTAAATTCTTCCCTCTTTTTCCTTAGAGACTCCAGATGGAGCTTGGTTTTTTCCTATAAAATAGAAAAAAAAGTTATGCTTTCTTATGAGCCCAGTCAGTAGAGTAAGTGGAGAACATACAGCCAATTGATCATCATAGATAGGGTTCAGAGTGGTCCATCTGAATTATTAGTTACTTTTGAATGAAGGGCATGGAACATAGATTGGCCCTAAAAATAAACATATCACATTTGTGGGTTTGATTTTGTATATTTGCTCACAGCAAGTTCTGTGTAGGTTCACCTGGAGGAACAACAGCATACAAAACTGTCATCTTGTGGTTGACCATTAGATCCCTTTAAGTGAACTACGATATATGATGACGTATCATAGGATTTTCTCAGACAGGGTTTTGTATGGCCTTCCTCTGAGACAACGTGACTCACCCAAGCATGGGTTTCCATGGCTGAGTAAGGATTCCAGCCCTGGTCACCTCTAGTTTGAATCCAACACTCGCACTGCTACACGAAACTGGCTCTAATATTATAATAGTTATTGCCATGTGCCTTCAAGTCATTCTGAAAACCCAGTGACATTATAACATGTTTTTTTCCCCCTTGGCAAGATTTGTGCAGAGTGGGGTTGCCTTTGCCATCCTCTGAGGCTGAGAGAATGTGACTTGCCCACGGTCACATAATGGATTTCCATGCTCCAGTGGGGTCTTCTGAGTTTGCACACTAAGAGCAATTTCATATTGGCTCGCCATAAAAGCAGGAAAAGAGCCATACCGGACCAGACCAGAATCCCAACTAGGTAAGGTAAATAGGCTGTTCACACGGAGCATGACTTCCACAGTTAACCATGTGCCACATGGAAAAGTACTTCCTTATATGGTTTTTTTTAAATCTACCACTCGGATTCCCTAGCAATATGGCCCAGGAGGGAAAGTTTCTGTCTCCTTTCCCCATGCCTTGAAATATATACAGTAGTCTCGCTTATCCAATATAAATGGGGTCGGCAGAACGCTGGACAAACGAAAATGTTGGATAATAAGGAAGGATTAAGGAAAAGCCTATTAAACCGCTCTGTATTGCCTAAGGGCTGAGAAGGGCGATATACAAATATAGTAAATAAACAAATTAATAAATAAACATCAAATTACGTTATGATTTTACAAATTAAGCACCAAAACATCATGTTTTACAACAAATTGACAGAAAAAGCAGTTCAATACACGGTAATGTTATATAGTAATTACTGTATTTACGAATTTAGCACCAAAACATTGCAATGTATTGAAACAGCTGTGGATCTGAGAGGGAGGCAGACTGCGTTGGATAATACAGAATGTTGGATGAGCAAAGGTTGGATAAGTGAGATAATATAATATAATATAATATAATATAATATAATATAATATATACGTAGGCCCCCTGGTGGCGTAGCGGGTTAAACTTCTGATCTATTGTAGTTGCTGACCAAAAGGTTGGCATTGTCCATCAACACCTCCAAGGAGATGTGGCCATCATGACAGCATGGAGCACTCTTACAGGTGGTTCAAATCCGGGAATGGGATTCTGCCAACCTAGCAGTTTGAAAACATGCAAATGTGAGTAGATCAATAGGTACCTCTTCTGTAGGAAAGTAAGAGTGCTCCATGCTGTCATGCTGGCCACATCTCCTTGGAGGTGTCGATGGACAATGCCAGCTCTTTGGCTTAGAAATGGAGATGAGCAATGTCAAGAGAAACATTTACCTTCATCTACGGCTGGAGTTAGGTGCCTGCATCCCCCCCCCCCCCAATTTGGACGGGATTTCCAACCTTATACTCTTGGGAGGTTTCTTCCAGAGGAATGACGTTGTGGCCTAGGTGCTCCTTGGATCTGTCACAGACCATGCAGATGGGGGCCTCGTCCTCCCTGCAGAAGAGCTTCAGGGGCTCCTGGTGCAGTTTGCAAGCCTCTCTCCTCCCTTCTTTCTTCCTTCCTCCTTCCTGGAGTTTCTGCACCAGTTCTGCCATGTTGGCCAGCTGCCTGTTGGACCTGAAGGTCCTCTGGGGGGTCCTTTCTCTGCATTGGGGGCAGGAAGCCTCTGGGCCAGGCTCCCCCCAGCACTTGGCCAGGCAACTTCTGCAGAAATTGTGTCCACAATCTAGGATCACTGGGTCTTTGAAGACATCCAGGCAATGTGGGCAAGTGGCTTTGATGCGGAGCATCTTCCCCCCCCCCAAGTATTTGTAGTTCGCCAAGGGCCGGACAATGGATTCTGTTGCTTCCTGACCCAGCACACATAACTGGGGTCCTGTTTCTTCTTTGTGAATTCTCTGGCTTGTGCACTGGACCCTGGCCCTTGATCAGGGAAATGTAGTTTCCCAAAAGAACATTGCCCCACACTTCATCGTTTGGAAACTCTTTGCGGACCTTTCTTGCCATCACCTATTGACTTGATGCCCTATCGTCATGGATAGGGCATCGGAACCAGGCCCCTTGGAAGGCACAGCCTCCGCCTGTGTGTGCCACCTTTGCCAAGGAGATCATCATTCTGACGGAAATGAAATGCTTTATTACCAAATATTATTGTCCCTAATAAACTTTGCTGGGTTGGGATGGGGAACCCTTTATGAAATATATGAAGAATGTATATGATATGTATAATATGAAGTCTGTGAGATGTACCCTTGCCCTTTTCCCTACTTTTTCCCTCTGAACTTTACCCCACTAAGAAAGGATGTGGCCTGAGGTTACAGTTGAGGAAATCCAATTTCCTCAGAATAACCCCATTCATATTGACATTTTGCATGGATCAGGGTTGACAATAATCTCAAGGTTTGTTTTCAGAGTCAGACAAACAAGCCAGGGATGGGTCAACCGAAGCCCGGAAAACGGACTGATTAAATCAATCATGGTATTTGTGTAAGCTCCTTTGTGATTAAGGGTCCCCTTGTCCACAGAGTTTGAGATCCGAATACCACCAATAGCCCCTTTTCATGCCTATACACATCTGCAATCAGAAATCAGGAAATCCTTTGTTTCTTCCGTCTGCCACCCCACAGCTTAGAACAAAAGTTCTCAATCGGCTGGCGGACACCTCCCAGGCACTCCGCCCCCTATGAGCTGTCAAACCATGTCTCGCCTCCTGGCTGCTGATTGGACCATCTTCGGAGGCGCTAGGGAGGCTCCGATTGGCCCCCTGGAGGCAGCAGCGCTCACTGATTGGAGGAGAGGCGGGACATGCAGCCAAGCCTCCTCCCAGTTGCTCCAGGGCCAGCCAATCAGGGCAGAGCCAGCTGACAGAGGGCGGGCGGGATTTTCAAACTGTTTTCCTTTGTTCTGACCATATAAAAATGCCTGTAACTTCTATGAATGTATGCTTATGGTGGAACTATCCCTGTAATGCATCTGATCTCAGCTGAATCACAATAAAAACGCTTTGCTCACTGGACACCTCTTCAGCCTATGGTGAGATTAATTCTTAATATTCCGCATCCTTGGATTGGCGTTCGCTGGCTGCTCACCAAGGTCAAAGACCCCCTTGGCGGTCTTCTGGGGCCTTCCTCGCTGGGAAAGCCCCCCAAAAAGAGCTCGATATCAGCTTCCTCGCAGAGCCCTTTGGCTGGACTCTCCCCTTCCATGGCTGCCTTTGTCTGAACCAGGAAAGGGAAAAGTTTATATTCTCAGTTCTGGGTGTTTGCTTTCCAAGAAGCAGAGGTGGAGCCTGGCTGTGGGGCAGCCCCAGAGCAAATGCTGGAAGGAGCCAGGAGCCTTAAAGGAGCCAGATCCCAGCTGGTCTTGGAAGCAGGAATGGCCCGGGTTGATGCTTGGATGGGATCCACAAGGAATCCCTCCTGCTGTGGGTTGCATTTCAGAGGAAAGAACTCAAATAGCCACCCTTTGAGTATCTCTTGCTTGAGGAAACCCTATGAAACCCAAATGTCCCAATGCATCAAATTCCACCCAGTCTTTGTATTACTGATGTCCCATCTTGGATTGCTTACAAAAGGCAATGATTTTTTTTGTTATCTTCAATTTGGTTCTAGTATCAACTTTATTTTTTCTTGTTTCATATAATATTTTATGGGAGTCCAATCTGCTGAGTTATTTTTTACGTCCCTCTTTATGTTTATTCAGTAGTCCAAATGGTTTCCAAAGTCCTTTTAGAAACATACAGGAGAAGCACAATGTGGCAAGAAAGACTAACTAGGTTTGCACTTTATCGATGGAGCCCGATTTCTGTCAAAGTGTATTGACACAGTTTTCAAGTGTTTCAAACCATGTTGTGGTATTCTTTTGTAACTATATATTTCCAATGAAGAGTTATTTTCAGGTGTTTTTTAGACTTGAAACTTTGTTACTAAAATAGAAATTTTGATTTAACTAAGTCTCCGCCCAAATTATTTTTCTGGCTTATGGCCCTGCTATATATATGTACTCTTCCTCGATGACTTGTCTGTCCCTTCTTGTCTTTTTTATTTCCATTTTCTCCCTGAATTTGATGCTTTTAGCTTCAGCAAAGATCAATAGGGGATGGCATTTCCCAGTCTATTTGTCGTTTCTCCTTTTGTCTTTCTTTCTTTCTTTCTGATGGTAGGTGAAGACATTTTTTTGTGCAGACAGGCCTTTGAGATTTAAATTATGAAACAGCAGTCTGTGCAGAGTGGTGTGCCATATTTATTAACTTTTATTAGTAATTATACAGTATATCAGAATTAGTTTTAAGGAGCATTTCAACAATAGTATTCCATGTGTAAAACCAAGTGATAACATCTTGTTTTCGATTACTGTAAGCTGGGGGGAAGGTGGGATGAAGACCCCAGAAGTAAATATCCATAAAAACAAAAACTCAGACTAGAAAACAAAAGAGCAGTTATATTTTCTTCTTCTTTGGTTCCCATTTTTTTCAAACCCAGTGGAGGGCCCTGTGCCTTTGAAAAATCATGAGGCAAAAATGAAAAAGGAGAAGATAGGGATGCATCAGCATGTTCTATGTATCTGGTAAGTCAAGCTCTGAAATGGTTAACTTCCTTCCACTTCTTTTGAGGGACAGGGGCTTTAAAAAAATAATAATCTGTAACCAAAGAGACCTCCTAACCCAATCTCTTCTTATTGGCATTTTTGCAGATAAGACATTCTCAGCCCTCATGATTAAGAAATGGAAGTTATTCCCAAAACCTTCTTGGAGATCCAAAGAAAGCCTTTTTGAGCCCTTTGATGAGACTGTGGATGAGGGTTGGTTCTTCCCAATGATTAGCATATCAGGGATCCATGGTCGGGTACAAAGAAAAAGGGTCGAATTTCCTCACCAGAGAATGATATTGAAGTAAAAGCATAGATGAATTCATCACATTCATCATAAAATTCCACCCGACCCTCTTCATAATTCAGGGACACATGTAACTTACGAATATTCTGTTCTAAATAAAAAGAGTCTACTTCAGGGAAAATGCAAACTTCAGAAGTATACTTGTCATGTGGTTTTACCCCTACAGCCCAGATTGAGTCATCTGTATTTGGGTTGATACTTCGCTTCTTTCTGACAGAGTCTCTTGAGATTCCAGCAGCCCATTGCTTTGAGGAAACTTTCACTACCCAATAATGTCTTCCGGAAGTGAATCTCTCACGGCCCCATACAAAGGCCTCCCGGGGAAATTTGTTAGATAGATGAGGAATACATCCTAACATTCTCGCATTCTTCAGGTCCTCAGACAGAATAAGCCTAGAACATGCTGTCTCGGGGTCTAGAGTCACATCCACTATAAAGGAGAAAGAAGGAATGTTAAATATATGTCCCACCTGCTGCATTCATTGGTTCCCTTTTCATAAGTGTAGATGATTAATGGATTATTAATGTAGTCATTCTTGGAATCCGTAGTCCCCTTGCACTACTATATGACCTACCTACAGCAGAAGTGCAACACATAATTTTGCTGGAGGACCTAGAAATCCCTAGAGCAGTGGTTCTCAACCTGGGGTCCCCAGATGTTTTTGGCCTACAACTCCCAGAAATCCCAGCCAGTTTACCAGCTGTTAGGATTTCTGGGAGTTGAAGGCCAAAAACATCGGGGGACCCCAGGTTGAGAACCACTGCCCTAGAGAGAACATTTATCTAGGAATATATAGGTCCTCCAGCGTGATTCTATGATCCACTTCCAACAGAAGTTGACCACAGTTGCACTGGAGGACCCACAGATCCCTATGTGAAAAAAGACCTGAGTTTGAGCAACACTGAA